TAAAAATGACTGATTACCAAGAAAAATTCCCTTAGATATATAGGAGTCCAATTTGTTCGTAAGTGCATACACAAGCAACAATTGAAGAGAAACTTTGATCTGTAAGACGACTCGTTGCCGAAAAATGTAATACAAGTGTAACACGACTTTCCATTTCGAAGAAAAATTTTGAAGGCGGAAATTGGTATATTTTTCTGACCGGAAATCTAAAGAGGATTGTGGCCTATTTAAGACGGTTGGATTGTGAGAAGAACCCCTTGGCTCATCTTCTGCTGCTGGTGAGCCTATGTTAAGTTTTCATCTATCTCGTGGTAGAAATTGTCGAGGAAAGAAACTATATTTAACGAAATAATGCACCAATATAACGAACCAACTTACTAAGCCCATTCTCTTGGTTCAGTATATTGGCATGCTTATTCGTAAACTATGTTGTCTTGTCCTTTGGATATATAGCACACAATAAACGAAAAACTAGCACGGGCTCATTAGAGTCACAATACGTTGAACTTACCATTTCTTCGCTCAATCAAACAGTCTTTACTCCAAGGCCATTGAGACTAGGTTTCCTGTAAGAACAATTCCCAAATTCTATCTGACCAACTTTGCCTGTAAACTGGGTCGTCGAGTTATACTATCTCACAAAGGGATTCTTCGAAACCCAGCATTTCTTCATATAGTTCTTATCAAAGGGTCTCGGGCTTTACCAATTTTGTATGTTTGTACAAAAAATGGTCAATGAGATATATCTAAAATTGGTCATGCGAATAAAATGCGTCTACATATATACACGCACAGAAGCAGAGTATAAGTTAATTAACCAAACCTTTCTATATCCATCTATATCTAAATTTTGTTTCTAATGAGTATCTAGATCATATAGGAAAGAGCAAATCAATTTTCTTGACTTAGTGTTAACTTGCAAGAATGAGTCCCAGCTCTGACGATTTTCGCCATTTGAATAGCGAAAGATCAGCCTGTCTATGCCAAAAACGATGAAAGATTTCTCGTGGACGGCATCAACCTGAACGTTGTATTAAAGCAAAACGGCTGCAGTACAACGGGAATCAGTCATCGTCTTCTAGTGAGATCGATTTATGAATCTCTTCATCCTGCCCTTTTATACAAAATGGAACACTTCACAACAATATGAATTGACTACACTGATTTGAAATTCGCAGAAATTTGAGTCAACCGTAAGATAATTGATGCATTTATTGAAAGATTCGATTCCTATACTACCAGTTGGTTGTAAATATGCTTCATATAAATATTTTTGCTAACATATCCTACTGCATAATGAGCTTTATGTGCTTTCGCATTTTTATGATTATCCTTACGCATTTTATTAAACTCAAATTTTGCCTTAAAATTTGTCCTGGCAGTAGTATTTTAGAAGAGGTTACTGACTAGCTTGATTTCCGACTATCTTTTAACTAACGATTTAAATAATTGCCCATTTGTTTTTGATGTGGAAGTAAGGATGTTCGCACCAGGCAGTAAAGGCATTCGTAAGCCTTCGTAAGTTGATGACGAAGTTGGATAATAAATGGAAAAAAATTTGTAAATTAAATTTACATTCTAAATTAGAAATCGAAATCATGTTTAATAGTAGATCAAAACCACTCCAAAATAGCTATTGGATATTAAATTAGTCAATTTTTAGCATTTTCTTGGCACCGAATTGGCGCAACCTCCAGTTGAAGCTCATAGATATTCTCGAATCTAGGGCTATACTT